CTACTGATGGTGGAACATCTTTCTACATCTGGTGGTGGAACATCTTTCTACTGATGGTGGAACATCTTTCTACTGATGGTGGAACATCTTTCTACAGCTGATGAGCAGAGCAGAGAGGAACAGTCTGGAGACATGGAGATACTTCAGCATCTCTTCAGGATGAGGAGCTGCTGGTTCCACAGAGCTGCAGGACTCCAGAACCTGTTTGGTGTTCAGAGGTGTGAACTGAATAAAGAGGCAGCGCTGAGAGTTGAGGGACAGTTTTGAGTATGTTTCTGATTCCAGGTCCAGAACGTTGCTGACTGGAGAGCAGCCAGACGAACACAAACACCGCCCTCTAGTGGAGGGAACACAGACGTCATTTATTTCCATGAGTCCAGGAACACGACGACGGTCAGGAGGAATAAAACATAAATAAACCTCTGCCAAGAAGCCAGAGTGCAAACACTGGAGGGAGTGTCCACGCTGCAGGAAGCTTCCAGGACTTTTCCAGGACTTTCAATGCCTCCATCACCCACAGCTGGAACGGTTTAACTGCTGAGGTTCACCTGGACCAGGACCAGAACCAGAAACCTGCCCTGAACTCCAGAAAACTTTGCTCATTTTGTTTGAAGTCACTGATTTTCTGCAGTTTGTTGTTTTAACCGTTGACAGTTAATTTAAAGTTGTTCCCTGTTTTGCGACATTTAAATTAATACCTGGTAAAATCACACCTTTAACATAAGAAACATGAGCCGACACGTTTCACTGTATTTAAATCAGCATGAAGGACTGTCACACAGATTTACTGTTAATTAAAAAAGTGATTAAAAGTCAGCACTTTGAAATATGGTTAATAATGTCCTGAACTGCTATTTTTACATCAAATATTTTTGTTAAATTACACAGAAACAAGTCAAAACTGCAAATATTAATTATCTTTTTTTTTTTACGAATACTAATTTGTTTTTATACAACATCAGATTATTTCTGCTGTATTTACATCAGCAAGAAACACACAAAAAAGAAAAATGAAAAAACAAGCCAAAACAGAAAAAACATTTTAAAAAATCAGTCCTTTTAAACAGTAATCTGTTCTTTTACCAGGTTTTATCAGATATTTTTTAATTTATAAATATTTCTAATTCATTTGAGGAAAAAAAAAAAAGTATTCTGAGGATTGAAAAATGGTTCATTTGTTTCAATGTGACTTTACATATTTTCTGAAAATAAAATTAATATCTGGGAAAAAAATCACAAAAAAGTATGAATCTGCAGGTTTACTGATGAAATTTATTTAAATATATATAAATACATTGTGTGTGACTGTTCTACTGTCCTGTAGATTTGCTGACTGGTTTGTTTCAGCGCAGACGTCGAGCTGTTTGAATTCCTGCTGAGGCTTCTGCCGCCACACGTGTCGGCCAACTGGCTCATGAATCACTGCAGGACGGAGAACAGTCAGGACGCTGAATAAATGATGACTGTCTGTCCTGCTTCCTATCGCACATCGACCGACCGACCATCTCCTGAACATCTGGCAGAGCAGACCGTGACTCATCCTGGGCTCTGCGGAGACGAGCAGGGAGGCGGCGCTGCAGCAACGACGTGGGTTTGACGGAAGGTGGACGTGGATCGGCGACAGGTGAGTCAGCAGCGAGCGACAACAAGGCCGGTAGAGGAGAGAGAGGAGAAACAAAGGCTGGGTGGCCTCCAGAACGTAGAACATGAACGTCCTGCAGCTCCAGCAGACCTCGCTGCTTCACAGAGGAATCACTCAGTGTTTCTACGGCTTGTTCAAAAAGTGGAGTTTGTGTTTCATCACAGCTCAACATGTACATCAGCTCACTTGTCTGTCAGTAGGTCTTGTGCTGACATGTTTTCATAAATCAGATGAATCTGTGCAGCTGCTCTGCTCCCAGTCTGGTCTTATGAACGCAGCAGGAAGCACAGAGACACACAGAATCCGCTTAAAAACACGCAAAACCACCACAAGGGGGTTCAAAGTCACCACGACAAGATGAAAAGTGACCACAAAGGGATGCAAAATGACCACAAATAAACACTAAGTCCCCAAAAAAAGATGCAAAATCACCACGAAGACTAAATGACCACAAAAAGTCACAGAATCACCACAAGAAA